TTATTTGGCTATTCATTTTATTTTATTTTGTATATATATATGAGAGAGAAATAGGTGTGTGAACTTCTCACTCTGCTCCTCAGATATAGAGAGAGAAAGAAGTGCGTGAGTGTATGAATTAAATTTTTCTTCCATTTATTATTTTTTTGGCAGAATTTGCATGACATTCTGTTGAAAAAGGACCTCAAGCTCACTTTTTTGTGCTTCTTCTTCCGTTTCTCGTCAGGTATGATCAGAGTCGGCTGCCGCCGCCATGGGTGGCGGAGGGTTTACTTGTGTTTTTTTTTAACTTTTGTTTGTGAATTTGGGATTTTGTTTGTTTGTTTGCTCTGTTTTATGTGTTTTTCTGTGAGTTTGATTTATTTGCTGTGTATGGTGTAGGTTTGACATGTTTCTGATTTTTTTTTTTGTAGTTTTTTAATTATTGTGTTAGCTGTTATAGTGGAGTTGTTGGATCTGTTGATTGTTTGTTATATGCGTTGGTGATTTTTATTTTGTTTGTGTTAATCTAAGGCTAAATATTAGTAGTACTTGATTTGGGATTTCCGTCATAACTACTTTGACTTGCTGTAATTTGACTGAAACAACCTCTCTACCTCCGCGAGGCTGCGAGGAAGGGCTAAGGTCTAGGCACACCATTTGTGAGATGTCAATGGCTATGTTGTTGTTGTTGTTACGTTTAATTACTCTCGAATTAGGCTGAATAGCTGAAATGAACTTGGATAGAGCTGAATAGATACAAATGATTCTGTAGTTGATTGAGTGGCAGCAGATTATTTTGTACTGGATGTGTTAAATTTGTGATGGCTTAGGGGAAGTTTTGTTTTTTTTTTCCCCCAATATTTCTAATCTTGTAGTCCCTAATTGAAGTAGAAAATTACGAAAAGATTGTTCTTATTCATGAATCACCTCTCCATTGTCGGTAGATCATGAGTCAAGCAGCTGTAGGCTACCCCTGCAAAGGTTATGTTTGGTGATTTTTGTTGGTTTACCACCTAACTTATACTTCTTCCTGACTTTGACCTTATGATAGTTCTTTTTCTTTTTAAATGATGAATAATGAAAATTTGTTTTGAGAAGGCTTATACTCAAAATGATGAATTTTGCACTTCAACAAAAAAAGAAAGCATAGTAACTAATTTTGCTGCGATTTGCAGTTTATCTAGAAGCCATGTTTTGATAAGTTGAAATCAAAGAAGTTTGCAATAGTATTTGTTTATCAAAAAGAGTTGCGAGTTCCTTTGTATTTGAATTATTACTTGATAAAAATAGTTCCTTTGTGCTTGAAAGCAAGTGAACACAAGGTGGTTCTACAACAACATAGGCTAGAAGTATGGAATGTATGACACCAATTTACCCCACGTTAATTAATGAATGTGATATTCAAAGTTTCATTTTTTTTGTGTGATATACCTTGGCACTTCAAGTCTACTTTGCCTTAAATTAGTAGAAGTCTTAAGCATGTTTTTATTTGAGGCCTTGTTGCATTCTTGGAAAACATGGCAAACAGCAAACTACAAGTTTTATAATGCAAGCCTATGTGCTTGCAGTGAAAATTGATCCCTTTCTGGTGGGGAGTCTTGGTGGTTGAATGCTATATGATATGTCAATTTTTTTTTATAGGTAATGTGAATATTTTGTGTTCGTGCTGCTCTGATTTTTACGCTTTCACGAATTAGCTGGTAACTCCTGATAAAAAAGATCCCTAGTGAAAGATGCATTGAGCATTCTTCATATTACTTATTAGGATCTCGTCCCAAATCTATTGCCAAGTTGTCTTCTAAATACAGAGTAATGCCTAATTACCTATCATGTCGTGAGAATCTGCACTTTACTTTTGTACTTGCTGATGCATCTGATTCTTGAAAGTGGACAACTTGATAAAATGATATGTGTTTAGTGACACTACCTGATGGGGGTTTCTGGACCTGTAATAACTCAGTCGCCTTTAGCAATTTACTTTAGGCAAGTTTTCTGCCTCTCAATTTCATCATCCTCTTTGACAAAACATATAAATGTTGATCGGGGAAGCATATTAGACTGCGACATTATCTTTCTTTGATATCGATGGTAAATTGTTTTGTAATTGGGAAAAGCCTATCTGGGATTAGGCAATATGTTTGCCTTTTTGTCTTGTAGTGATTCTTATAGAAGCAATAAACTGCGTGTAGAGATTTTTGTTACAAATCCTAAGCCTTTTATTCAATAAAAGGCTGGTTACAACATTCTTGCTTACCAAAGCCAATTCCCCTTGTCTGTTTATGTCAGCAGTTTGTCTGTGAGAAAAACATCTGCGTTGCTACATGGGTAAATTAACTATTAACAATCTGTTACTTGTTTTATTAATCATTTTTTCAGGTAAAGCTCAAGTAAGAGACGAATTATAGTAGCATTCACCATGTTTCGTCGCAAGAACCACTCTAATAGTGAACAGGGTGTTGAGGACCAGCAGCAGAAGGTAACCAATAGTCCTGTTGTTTATCTTTGTATGTTAATATCCTCTTGCTTTCAATTAGATTATAGATTGGATTTCTCATGTATTTATGATTCTACATTTTTAGGGATTTGTTTTCTTATCATTGTCTCTGTGGAAGAGGTGTTGGTGTTCTGTGCATGTGTAGTCCTTGCATATTAATACTTATCCTTACTATTTGGTATACCCTTTGTATACAACTGTTTTGGCCATGTTCTGTGCATGCATTGTCCTTGCATATATTAACTTATCCTTACGTTTTGGTAGACCCTTTGTATACAACTGTTTTGGCCATGTTTATGAATGAAAATATTTTACTTTATCAGAAAAATTAATACTTATCCTACGAATGTTTCACGAAAGATGATTGAATCCTTTTGATGCTGCATGGCGAGGATGATAAATATTTTTTTTTTTTAGGTTAAGGAGCTTAGGGCTTCCCTGGGGCAACTCTCAGGGCGCAGCACACAGTTCTGCACTGATGCATGTTTAAAAAGGTTTTTGGAAGCACGGAACTGGAATGTAGATAAAGCAAAGAAGATGTTGGAGGAGACGCTTAAATGGAGATTATCGTTTAAACCTGAAGAAATTCGCTGGGTAAGGGAACAATAGATTTGCACTAATGTGATTATCTCTTGTTGTTTGCACTAATGTGGTTATCTTTTGTTGATAACTTGTTTGTTTATCAGAGCTACATATCGAACAAAAAAAAGCTTGTTAGTGAGAGCTAGAATGAAAAATCTAATTGGAAAATTATTATATTTTATATTAGTGGTGTCCGAACCAGCTTGCTCGCACCTCAACTAGTCTACGGGGTGAACTATCCAGTCCATAAGCATAGTACCAAGGTCCTGCCACCAAGGTTACAGCTGGTGGGCGCGCACCTACTGTTGGAACTGGGATTCAAACATGGGATCTCCATGTTTTGACTTCCATGCCTCAACACTTGGCCACTTCCTTGAGGACATAAGAGGTCACACTAATAACCACAGACCACACTAATACCATGACCAGTTTTAATATTGAAATATAAGCAGTATGAGTCTTTTGCAATGTTGTGCGGATATTCTGAAGGAGATACTGGAACTGTACTGACCACTCGACAATCAATTAGTTCTCTGCCAATTTCATATTTAGGCCTCTGCAGATGCAATTTCCTGTAAAATATTATATTAGTTTACAATTGCTTCTGCTGACCATGAAATGGTGTTGCATTGTTAGAATGAAGTAGCGAAAGAAGGTGAGACTGGGAAGGTATTTAAAGCAAATTTTCATGACCGCCATGGCAGGACAGTCCTAATATTGCGGCCAGGAATGCAGGTAATGTACAAGCAAGTTGATATCTTCAAAAACTTTTCTTTTGAAATTTTAAATTCCTATTCCATTTTGCGAAATTCTTAAAATTGTTGCTCATATTTGCAGAACACAGCAGCACTAGACAACCAGATGAAGCATTTGGTGTATCTAATCGAGAATGCCATTTTTAATCTGCCAGAAGGTCAAGAACAGATGGTCTGGTTAATTGACTTCACTGGATGGTCTATAACCAATAATGTTCCTGTAAAATCTGCTCGCGAGAGCATCAATATTTTGCAAAACCACTACCCTGAGAGACTCGCTGCAGCAATTTTGTACAATCCACCGCGACTTTTTGAAACATTTTGGAGGGTTTGTTTTTAGTCCTCTTTGTTTTTCTTACCTCCTCCCTGCTAGTTGAACAAACCTAGCTCATCTTTTTTTACTTTTCCAGATTGTCAAATACTTTATGGATCCCAAAACATTTCAAAAGGTCAAGTTTGTGTATCCAAAGAACAAGGATAGCGCGGAACTGATGAAGTCATACTTCGACGTGGATAATCTTCCTACTGAGTTTGGAGGAACAGCGACACTGAATTATGATCACGAGGAGTTCTCAAGGCTAATGGCTCAAGATGATGTGAAGGCCGCCAAGTTTTGGGGTAAGGACAAACACCCCCCTGGTCCTGGTGGTAATGGTAGTTACTCTGCAGTAGAAGTTGCTCCAGAACCTTAATCTCTTGCTCTACCAGCCACTGCCTGAGTTTAAATGATTGCTCCACTGACAAAGTTCAGTCTCTTATATGCCTAACTAAGTTTAAATAAATAATGAGGAATGTAAGATCATGTTCTCAGACATTAGCTTGTTTCAGATGAACTTTGATTGTAGGTTGTATTTTGATTTATGCAGAAATCAAAAAGTACTAAATTTTAAGCATTTCTTATTCCCCCCTCTACCTCTTTAAGTTCTTTATTTCAAAAAGTTTGTTAGATGTATGCAGATTTTACTCTTGACGCTTCGTGGTAGAGGTTGTTAGATTTGTGGTTGTTAAAATCTGTGGTAGAGGTTGTTAGATTTGTGGCTGTTAAAATCTTTGGCCTTCATTAGTTGAAGTTGTGTCATGTCTTGTCTCAATCTTCCGTCTATAGTTGGGCAAACATTTCCAATACACTTCAACATCAACTATTTACATAATTTATTATATTGAGTCATAAGGACAAGTTGTACTGATTAAATGAACACCCCATATATTATCATTGCTTAAAAGGCACAAATACCAGGCTATAAGGTTCTCATATGAAAATCCGTCCTATTTTTTGTCAAAATAAATATTTACACATTAAATAACAAGCTCAACATGATACAATAATACCTAAAAACATGTCCATACAGCTTTAGCAACTGTTGCACTCCTCAGCACCAAAATGCAGCAAACAGATTACACATGAAAAAGAAAATGGTTAGCAACGTCGAAAATGTCTAAAAAGTAGAATATATTCTTAAAACAAGTATCTCTCTTTTGTTAGCCTTTATATGTATACTATGCAATTACATAAGGCGCCTTCTTAAGTTTCGTGTAGTACGGACTAATAAACCAACTCCTACTCCAACTCCTACACAAATGCCAAGGCCAATCCCAACACCAACTCGGACCCCAGCATTGAACCAGGACATTTCTCCGTCTTCACCATCCATAAGTTCTGTTCGTCCCCAGTACATGCTGTTGTAGTCTTCTTCGCTTTCTGGTTTGTAGTTTCTGTTGTATTCTGTTACCTGTGAAACACAAAATGAACTTCAGAAGCTGTGCAGTTTCCATCACGTAGTTACGCGTCTGAGAAGCTGTGGGATTCATCTAATTAATTGCAGCTGTTGAACTTACTTTGTGGTTCAAAATAAATAAGTACTAAAGAATTACTAAAACCAACCACTGCCATGATAATATGTTTCAATCGAAACGACACAGAAAACTTAATAATCAGAAACTGTAGAGTGTAGATGAACTGCAACTAATTTTTGTCAACTTCAAAATTAAAGCAGCACATAGGCAATACTTACGCATGAGATGAAAATTTCAAACTTTGGATTTACTTTTAAGAAAGGTCAACTTGAGTTTGGAACAACGTTGACGTATAACAAGCTAATATGCGTCATGTAATGGATCGGATATCCCAAAAGAAACAAATGTCATTAAGGTTGTCATATGGAGTGCAAAAAAAATGTAAGAACAAAACTGGATGGCACTATTCAATCACACAACATCAGAGTAAGGAGCCAAGTGATATCATCAGAAGCAGAATTCATATATCATAGCATTTCTGAAGTTAATCATGAAAGATGGATAGCACGTGACGAATTCACACTCAATTATCTACATGAGAATATTCACACATGGGATGAAAGATGGATGGCCTTAGATTTTTGCAGCTGACACTTCAATATTGTCCAACTGAGAGACAATTGGGAGGAAGTTCTCTCAAAAGAGCTACAAATGCTCGGTAGCAATGCAAAATTAACAAAAGATAGGTTACAATGGAAGAAAAAGATCCATACAAGTGATAACTACTAGTAGAGGATATGTTTTAGACTCGTTAGAGAACTTTTAATATTATCATTATTATTATTATTTCAATATATATTGGACATATTTCTCACATTTATTTTATTTAATATGATGATGATATGAAATGAGCTCAAATGAAAAATTGAGGATTCATATAGCTGACATCGACTTGTTTGGGACTGAATCGTAGTTATTATTGTTGTATTACATCTGACATTTAGTTTCGAGATAAATACGCATTCAGACCACCTACAAAAAAGTCCATCTAATTTATGGAGATTATGACGGAAGAATCTATTCTAATTAGCTCAAAGTAGACACCGGAATGGTCAAGTACTCTTGATGAGCTGAAATGGAATGAAAATGAGAATAAGATGGCGGCCCATCTAGTTGCCATCCTGATGAAAACCTCCCATGCATGCCAGTTTCTAGAAGGTAGGGACAATGCAATAAGAAAGAATGAGAAATTATATATTAAACAATTACTTAAAAGTATGAGCTGCCCATACCCTCTGACATGTTTAGGATAAGATTCTATTTCCAGTGTCAGGTAGTTCTCCTTAAAGATGCGAACTTTTTGTAGCTCGCAACAAAATTAAATAAACATGTTTCATGGTATGAAACATTATGAAGCTAGATGCAATGGTAGAGTAAACCATGATGACTGACGAGTTGTCAGGGTCATGTTTTTACTGATTAGTCCCCACTCTGTCAATGGAATACCATTAATGTAGTTACCTTTGGTTAGAAGACATATATTTTGAAGGTGTCTGTGCAATCAATAATAACAATTCTGAGGAAAGAGCTGTGTATAAGATATCATGCATTACTTCTTGATAAATCACCAACAAGGAAAAGAGACGTAAACATTTTGGGGCTTAACGTATAAGAATTTTTTAAATACAATTCGCACAAGTGAAATTGTGTATAGTGTACCCCTGTTGTCATTTGAAAAAGAAAAATTGTAGAAATGTTCAAGTCACTTTAGCTGACCATTTGTGCAGTCCTAACCTAAGTTGTTCGGACTCTCCAAAAATGTTGCCGCACCTATGTTAGATCCTCCAAAATTACACTACTTTTGAAGGACCCGACACGCACCTAGTGACAGTTTTGAAGAGTCGGAGCAACATAGGCTCTAACCATTAGGAAACTTTCAAAGATGACATGCCCCAATGTATTTTAAAAGCTCTTTTCCCACTTTCAACTTTTTCAGCTTGTTTTCACCACTAAAATAACTTCAAATTCAGTTTGAATCAAAGAGGAAGACAGATCCCAAAACATTTTTAGGTCTCTCGAAAAATATCAGAAAGACACTAAATAAACTGAAGGCAATGATGTTGATTGTCTCATTCCACCTATTGGTTAACTATGTAAAGAGTTTGGCTGTAAGCATATGCCATATCAACCATTTTGCATGTTTAAGATTTCGATTACATAAGAAAAAAAGGTCTGAGGAACAAATAATACCTGCAGATCATGTCCAGATGAGACTTCTTTATGCTGTTCAGATGTGTCATGCTCCGGAATGGAGTCTAACATACCCTTTCTTTGGTGCTTCTTCCTGTGATTTAGCTGCAAAGTCTTAGTTAAGATGATAGGTGTACCAGCGAAGCAACCGGTAACATAGACTTCAATTGTCGGTGACAATGATTCAGAACCCACAATGTGTTTTCCCTTCAGAAATCCCATGCCAGCACTCATAACTGATTCACAGTTCATGCTCCATCTCCTAAGACAGTTTTGAGAATCATTGATGTTGGCCATCTCCAAAGTCCCAGAGAGAAAAAGATCATCTTTATACGAAACCTCAAAATTCACACTCCCAGTCAATCTTATACTATCTGTGCTCACAAATGTAGCTTCTTCAGCTTTCTTATCAACACGGTCCCTTCGAAGAAAGCAAGAGGCTCCTTCTGAGTACACAGAACATCTTTTACCATTTACTTCAAGCAGTGTATCGGGGCTTAGAGGGATATGGTTAAGCGTAAGACTTTCTGGGGTTGAATCATCAACCATAAAATTGCTGATTCTGATGTAAAAAACTCTAATATCAAACCAAGATAACGATAATTTCCCACAAGATTGGTAAGAGGGGTGCCTTATAATTTGAAGACTAGGATCAGCTGGTTTTCCATTGCTTAGAAACTCACGCGAATTCTCCATGTATCGTAGCTGCTTATCCCTCACTAGAATCCTTCACCATGTACTCATATAACAAGAACATGATCATAGAACCGTAAATCTGGCACCCCCGTAGGCCTAGGAACCGTGTTTCAATTCAAATCCCTACTCAACACGGTGCCTTCACGAGTATCTTGATCTGGCTAACAACATACATCCATTCATTTTCCAATCAGACAATCATATAGCACTAATAGTTTGTAAAGAAAACAAAACAAGAACCGTAACCGAAACCGAAAGCATAAATGGACATGAAGATTTTGCCAGGTACCACAAAAAAACAGAATTCCAGGAACAGAATACCTTGATACAAGGAACAGAAAAGACAGAATCAAGGCTATAAAAAGAAAATTAGACTACCTTACAAAAAGGGTTAAAAGGTAATTTATTCCAAACATGGAGGGGATCACACAAACAAGAAACATAAAGATTCACAAACAAAAGGAAGCTTCATATGAATTACTCACACAAATTGTTTTGTTTTTAACTAAAAATTGCATCAAAACAACATTATCCATAAATTTATCATTAATTTTGTTTTAAACAAAAGAAAGGTGAAAACACATAATAATCAAAATCAAACACAACCCCACCTGCAGAACCATAGATTAGAAGTTTAAAAAGTAATAAAGATTGAATCTTTTTCTACCTTTTCACCTCTTTCACTCCCAAAATTATGCTATAAAATTGCATCAGAACAATATTATCCACAAATTCATCACTAATCTTGTTATTTAAAAAGAAAGGTGAAATCACAAAATAATCAAAATCAAACACAACCCCACCTGCAGAACCACAGATTAGAAGTCTAAAAGGTGATAAAGATTGAATTTTTTTCACCTCCTTCACTCCCAAAATTATGTTATAAAATTGCAAGCCATCAAGAATAAATACCCCTAACTCACTTTCTTAATACAGACAAAAAGTGAAATCTTTTTCAACCTAATAAACTTACAAAGGTCAAATCTTAAATCCACAACCACAAGCTCACCTTCCCAAATTGTGCAAAATTATCTATCAAATCACTTACAAAATTCCAATGAAGGAGCTTGCTCCCTTTGATTGCCTTTCTCCAAATCTTGTGGCCCAAAATAAAGTACAGTGATGCTGCTTTTTGGAGTCTTCCTCCCAACAAATCAGGTTTTTTTCTCGATGTGTGTATGTATATAATACTTATGTATGTGTGTATATAGATAGACTTTAAATAAATCAGAAAAAAGTTTATTTGACAAACAATATCCAATTAGTAAGTTCATACACAACAAAAATAAAAAAAATATTGACCACCAAAAGGATGTGGCCTCCTTTAATTTCAAGTTTTGGATTCCGCCTTAGATATGAAATTGTTTTTGATAGAAAATATTTTTCTCGAAGTTAATCTGAATTAATTCAACTTTAATATAAATATCGAACATGATTCGGAAACCAAAATAAATAAATATTGATGGTGATTTTGAAGGGGTGTGACTCAGAGATGGATCTTGAATTAGAATTGAACCTTATCTGATAAGGGGATATATTTATTTTTTAAAATTATTTTTACGAGGTCGGCATCTTTAATTTAATGGAAAGTGATATTTAGGTTTGAAGAATGTAGCTTTTGACCAACTTTGAACCTAGACCACATCTACTATTTTTACTTTTATTTTTATTCAGTGTTCGATATCTACGTTAGAGTTTGATTATTTCAAATTTATATTATATAGGACCTTATTCGGGAGAAGCGTTCCCTATTAAAAAAAATTCATACTTAAAATTTGAATTTGAAACCTCTAATTAAGAGTTAAGCAATCATATCCGCTACATCACTAAGCAGACCACGTCTACTGTCGAATTTTGAGTATTTATTATTTAATTGAATTGAAGAAAAGGACAAACTTACTAACTTACCCTTGGTCAAATTTTTTGAAAAAAGTACTAGCTATTTAAATATGTAATGTTTACCTTATTTAAATTTTAAAAATTAGTTTATTTCGTGAAACCCCACTTATCATAGTAGCAAGCAATAAAGATACAAAGCTATTAATATGGGTTGTGATGTAATAGTGAAATTGTTCCACCTTTAACTAAAAGTAATAGGCCTTTCAATACGTGAGTCATATTTAGTTGAGATTTTAATATAGTCATTGAACACCGGGCGGAAAATCAAAAATAAAAATAAAACAAAGCTATTTTTTGTGGTTGACAAGTGTTGATCCCTTATATTTATTAGTAACTACTTAATTACATAAATATTCTTATCATATTTATTGATTCTCCCTATAGTTTGAAATAATTACATTTTATCTCACTAATTAATAATTTCATACTAGTTTTCAAGTTAGATATATACATGTTATTTTTTTGCTACAAGATACACTGAAATAAGGAGAGAGGCGAGTAAGAATTGTTTAACTATCTCAAATGCATGCGAAACACACCAGATACATATCTGGTGTGATTCACATGTATCTAGGATACCATATACACAAGTGGAATATGAGACTGGCGAGCGAGATTTGTCTATGTATTCCAAATACATGTGAATCCACTTGGATGCAGTATCTACAATGAATTACACTTGATTTTGACCCAATGTATTCCATAGATACATGTATCTTGAAGTATTTAGATGCACCAAAATTCGATAAGATTTGTAATATTATAAACTAACGTACATCTAAATAATTAACTTCCAAACTAACAAAATTTCCGCAAGTCATAAAGACATGAAGGGGCAAGTGTTGGATCAATTTATTGGACATTAGCTCGAAAGTTAGATGACAAAGACCAACTACTTATTTACTTTAGTGGGCTACTGGCTGATGGGCTAAATGGTTAATATTCCGAATCTGTTTTTCCATAATGGGCTAAAGTAGGGGTTTAATAGCTAAATGGGCTAAATTCTGGTGGGTCATAATTAACTGAGCTCCCGACACATTGTGTTCCGCTTTCGGATACATTCCTCAACGTCCTGATACATCATGTTTCGCTTTCAAATACATCATTCAGCGTCTCGATAGATTGGTTTGTGTATTAATGACCAGCTCAAACTTAAACGGGTTAGATAGTTATTTTTGTCACTCTTAACCTAAATCAATCCTCTATCTCCAACTAGGGATGTGCATATATCGGGTAAAATCAATAACTTGATTCGAAAAAATGTTATTAATTCAATGGTATGGAACTATTGATTTAACGATTTTGTAAGATTGATAATTTATCGGGGTAAAATTATTATTTTTTAAATATTATTTTATTGTTTATAAATCCAAATTCTAAGGCTGAAAAATTCATTGGTCATACATTGCCTAGTGTCTATCTCATCACTAATTCTTGTGGGGGTCCAATATGCTATCAATGTATCCAAAATGTCAAATAATTGTTTTCTTTGTAATATTTTTAATGGTAGGATTTTGTATAACAATAAAAATACATTTAGTGTAATTTTATAAGCGAGTGAGTTTTGAAAAATAAAAAATAAAATATGTGCAAATTTATTTTTATCTTTATAAAATAGATAAATTATTTCTGACTTGTTATAGCTGTACCAACTTTAGAAATGAAAAGTACAATTTCCTTATAATGATGTTATCTGTCTGAATATAAATAACGTTATAGCAAACTAATGTCATAAAAACATTTTACCCATACTTTAGGATAAAAAACTCAAATATGAATTCACAAATTCAAAAACAAATACAAATTAGGAATCATTTGATAGCTAATTAAAATATAAGTTATTAATACTTGCGTAATTCTAACCGACTGAATTTGTAATGATGATACATGTCTTTTCATCTAATAATTATGTAGTTGCTATTGGTTTTGCTTTGTTCTCCCACTTGCTTAATGGTACTGTTTTTTAATTAAGAAAAAATCTTTTTTTTTTGTCCCATTGATATTTCACATGTATATATAAACTAAAAATAGGCTCCTCTATCGAGACTCAACTTGCCACTAAATGCTAATGAAACAAAGCTAGCAATATGCATGCACACACCAGTACATAATTGAATTATTGCTCTAAGTTTTTCAACTAAAGAGTTTATTGGTTTGGTAATAGACTCGGATGGACAAATTTAAAATTTAAATTTTATAATTTTTTTTTATTAAATTTATCATATTTTTAAAATTATAAATTTGAGTCCGAAAAAATATGATGCGACATCATGATGTTACCATTTATCATTTGCCTATACTTTTAATATGTTGTAATATTGTTCATTTTGCGTTAAGTCAAACATAGTTTTCACCCACTCCACGTCATTCCAACATCTAATATGTATTTTCCTTTTGTTATTGATATGAAATTTTGTTCACACACACCTAATTAATCATCTCTCTCTCACTAAATTTCACGTGTCCATCCTCAAAGACTTTTGCTAATTTAAAGTATTTATGATCTCTAAAGCCCACAATTTTTTTGCGCATGTGTTTTCAAGTTATGAGTAAAACCGGTTATATACCAACCTAAATATGAGCAAGGAGATTAAAATCCGGTCCTGTCATTATTTTGTCATTTTCATATTTATCTCGTCAAACTAATAACTTTGATATTAGTTGGACTAAAACAATTCAAAAAACTTAACATTTTGTGATATATACTTGGGGGCAACCTTGCAATTTGTTTAAAAAAAAATATATTTTATACCATATCATGTTTATATCAAGTCAATAGAGATATAACACATTAAAATACAAAACTATAGTACTTAAATATGATTAATATACATTTTTATCTCACTAAATTATTTAATTATTATAAATTTATAACTAATAAAAAATACTATCTAATACAAATAAATATTTAACATAAGACCCATTTTAAACCAATTTCTTATTTTTCAAAAAATAAAATATCAAAACCCACATGCGTCAAAGGCGACAGAAATGGTCAGACTGTGGCACTGATCACTAAAAATACCCCACACCTTCATCACTTTTTTTTATAAAAAAATTATTATGTGTCTGAAATTATTAATTTAATTAATTCAAATTTACATAATAATTTTATTTATTAAACTAAGAAAAAGAGTATGATATACCCCTCAACTTTGTCATTTGAAGCTGATATTCCCCTCATTTTGAAAGTGACTCATATATACCCTTACCGCTATACAAACGGCTCACATATATCCCTACTGTTATAAAATGAGCTCACATATACCCTTCATTTAACTGAAGTGAAAAAATTAGTTTTAAATTTATATTTTTGACTTTTGATTTTTTTAAAAATCATTTAGGGGCATATATGATTTTTCTAGCAAAATTCAAGGTATGTTATAATTTTTTTCGAACATAAATTATTTTTTGACTTCTTGATTATCATTATTTGAGTTTCTTATTCTTATTATTTTTTTCTTTCATTCCCTAGTATAAAGAAAAAAATTTAAAACTATTTTTTTTGTTGCTATATTATAAATTAAAACTATTTTTTTCGGATATATTGTAATTTAGTTTTTGTATTTGAAGAAAAAAATTGGGTCATCTATAATAAATTTTACAAGAATATTAGCGAAACTTAAATAAATTTGACCATCAAAATAATAAATCTAAATTAGTCGTTGAAACAAAAAAATAGTTAAAACTAATAATATATGTTTGAGGAGGATTAAATAAATCCATATGGGATTATATATTTTTTAAATAATTAAAAAATTAAACTTAAATTAATTTTTTCACTTTCGTTAGAGGAAAAAGGGTAAATGTGAGCCATTTATATAACACTAGGGATATATATGAGCCACTTTTATAATGAGGGATATATCAATTCTAAATGACAAAGTTAAGGAATATATCAGACCCATTTCCTATTAAACTATGAGATTTAGTGTTTCATATTGAAAATACTTCATTTTTATAATTTGAAATTAAAAGCTCTAGTCAAAAGAATAGAAACAAGACTTCTGTCAAACGTGTATATACGTTCACAAATAAGTTAAAAAAAAAAAACGATAGCCCACGGTTTCCCACACTACCTCCATTTTAGTTTTGACTCATGTTGAAATTAACATGTTTTGTACGCGAAATAGGATAAACAAGGATATATTATTATTAATTATTCATTTTTTTATATGGAATAGTTAAATGATGAAAGTAAAATAATCTTGAAACTAAAATAATATTTATAACTAAAAATGTATTATCTTGGTATATATGTTACATCTCATGAGTTTTGATTGAATTAGTTATTTCACTTTTTATACAGTATAATCAATCACACCATTATAATACTATAAATAATAAAATAAAATTGTAAGATTAACTAATATCACAATCAAATTCAAAATAACATAATTCAATAATTTATTCTTATCTCACGTACCAACGATTCCTAATATTATTTCCTTGACCATAGTACCCCCTATTTGTCTCACTTCTTCTTTTTTCTTCCTTCCCCTTTGTTTCCTTCCACCTTATTATCTCTTCCCTTCTTTGCTAAACAGCTGGTCCAACCAATTACAATTTGTACTATTTTGTACATATTATATATATATATATATATATATATATATATTTTT